CTTATATCTTATAGCATTATGGTAGGAAAAACTATCTATAACTAATGAAGAAGTGTTTATGTCTATTATACAGTGGGGCCGAAAAGTATTCAGTCAGCCACTGATTGGGCCAGTTCTTCTACTTGAAATAATGAGAGACGTCTGTAATTTTCATCATAGGTACACTTTAACTATCAGAGACGAAATAAGAAAAAAAGAAGCTAATCACATTGTAGGACTTTTACAGAATTTTGGCCCATTCCTCCGTGCACTCCTCTAGTCCAGTGATGTTTTGGGGCGTTGCTGGGCAACACAGACACGGATTGAGGTCTGGAGACTGGCAAGGCCACTCCAGGACCTTGAAATGCTTTTCACAGAGCCACCCCTTTATTTCCACGTTTCCAGCCACATTTCCATCTTCAAGGCTTACACTGATGGAAGGAGGTTTTGACTTAAAATCTCACAAAACATGGCTCCATTCATTCTTCCCTCAACACAGATGAGTTTTCCTGTCCCCTTTGCAGAAAAAAAGCCCCAAAGCATGATGTTTCCTCCCCCATGTTTCACAGTAGGTATGGTGTTCTGGGGATGCAACTCTGCATTCTTCTTCCTCCAAACATGACCAGTTGTTTTTTACCAAAATGTTATATATCTTGGTGTCATCTGACCGCGTGGTATTCTCCCAATCCCCTTCTGGATCATCCATCTGCTCTCTGGGAAACTTAAGGCGGGTCTGGACATGTACTAGCTTGAGCAGGGGGACACGTCCAGTACTGCAGGAAATGAGTCCCTCTTGGTGTAGGGTGATACTAATGGTAGCCTTTGTTACTTTGTTGCCAGCTCTCTGCACCATTAATCAGGTCCCTCCATGTAGTTCTGGGATTGTTGCTCACCGTCAACATTTGATCATTTCGACCCCACAGGATGAGATCTTACTTGGAGCCTCAGATCGAGGGAGATTATCACTGGTCTTGTATGTCTTCCAGTTGATTTTGTCACACCAAGCCGTTTGCGTATTGTAGACTAATTCTTCCCAGCCTGGTGCAGGTCTACAATTTTCTTCATGTGTCCTTTGACAGCTCTTTGGTTATGGTCATGGTTAAATTTGTACTGTGTCAGATTGAGGCTGTGGACATGTGTCTTTTATACAGATAACAGGTTCAAACAGGTGCCAATAATAAAGGTAATGAGTGGAGAACAGAAGAACGGTGTGTAAGAACCAGAAATCTTGCTGGTTTGTGGGTAACCAAATACTTATTTTTCTACCATAATCTGTGAACTCAAACTGGTCTAGCCTTCGGCGGCTTTTACCTCCATAGGCTCTGTCGCTTAGCAACTGTGACAGTTGACACAGAAAGAAGGAAAAAAATGAATACTGAACTTTTCAAAATTTTTTTATTTTATTTTATTATATTTTTTTATTGTAAAGTGAACAAAGACTACACTCATGACAATATAGAGGCGAATAAGGGTGAAAATGTAATGATAGAAACCTTAGTCAGTTAAATAACCTGCTGCTGTCATTCTGCACATCTCTGATGTTGCTGCTATTTTCAAATATCCATTACTGTAAAAATGTCCATAGTCGTATATTGGTTATTTATTCTCCAGGTGAACAATTTTATATTGTTAGAACACTTTACAGTACAGTATTTTATCTTTTATCTTTTTACTCTTCACTATTATGTCACTCTAATATATTTCTCTAAGGTACACATTTGTGTGACCATTTTTTTCTAACATTTTTTGCTGTTGTAAACAACAGAATTTCCCTATTGTGGAACAATAAAGGGATTTTCTATTCTATTTTATTCTATTCTATAAAATGGATAGAAAGGTATAGGTAAATCTAAACAACATATATCTGCAAAATCACTTATATTGAAAAAATAAAAAATACTTAGTTAAGCAAATTTTGCAAAATAATAATTAAAATCCTTTCAGATTTATAGTCCCCACACTGCGGATATATTAGAATCTGTCCTTAAATTCCAGCCAAACCCATTTACACAGTAACAGATAAAAACCTTTAGATAAACCAAACATTACCGTCACAAATTATTATTTTTGGAAAATTTGCTTAACTAAGTATTTTGTGTTGTTGAATAAAATAGATTTTCCACATATATTTTGTTTAGAGTTACGTACACCTTTCTATCCATTTTATAGAATAGAATAGAATAGAATAGAATAGAATAGAATAGAATAGAATAGAAAATCCCTTTATTGTTCCACAACAGGGAAGTGATGGTGTTTACAAAAGCAAAAAAAAATGTAGAAAAAGAATGGTCAAACAAATGTGTTGTGCCATATGCCATGATCATGGTTTTTGGACATTGGGAACCAGTGTCCATATTTCTTCTTGACATGATGAACAGAGAAGAGGACGCAGCTTTGGTGAATAACAGCTGGACGACCTCAGGTACATCACATGGCAAGTTAAATAGTGGGACCAACCACCCCCCTCTGCGTGAGGACAGAAAAAACTACAGAGGACAAAAGATCTTTTTCTCTTTGCCTCCTCTCCCTTGCCCATGAAGCTGGGGTCCATCTCTGGCAAGAGGGAGATCCTGCCGGGGCGGAAAGACCCAGATCTCCAGAATCCTCAAGGATAAGTCAGAACCTTTCAGAACCAAAGTGCTGAAAAACAGACCTTTTGCAACTCATTTTTCTTGAGTGTCAAAACTTATAGAGCCAGACTGGATGAGAATCCTACCCTGGGTGTGAGCCTGAGACAAAGAGGACCCCTGCTGTGAGCCACTGGGACAGAGAGTGAGCCTGCCTTGCTGTGGCCTGCCTGTTAAACTCCAGCAGGATGGAAGCTCAACCTTTCCACATGGACATGGAAAAACGGTTTGCAGGTCTGGCATGAATAGAGACAGAAGAAACAATATTTTTTGATGATGATGAGTAGGAACAAGGCTAACTGGATGGACTGCATGCTATTCTATGCTATACAGAAACTTGTGTTGAGCTGTTGTTGTTGAAGCTTGGACAAGCTTTATTTCAAAAAGGGTCTAAACACTGATATAACATTAGTGTTCATGTTTTCCTCATATGCTCATTACATTTCAATTACCAAGAATGAACAAGAGTCCTTTAGTGGAATCCTGATTTCTATTCGCTGCTAGCTATTTCGAATAGGCTAAAGAATCATTAACTCCAATTTCTCTAAATTAGTGAAAGCTACTTTGATCATATCCTAAATTCTCCAAGATATATTACTTTGGTTTTCAAACTCAAAATCCATCTTAAACTGTAATATGGCTTTCAACCATGTTCCCCCTTCCTCTTTGTACATAGTAGTTTAGTTTAGTTTAGTTGAGTTTCACTAGTTTTAGTTAAAAGTGTTAAACCAAATTACCTAACCAAATTACCTAACCACGCTACACTGCTCATTACCAGCTCAGCTGTAGAGGTGGTCAATAGCACCAATTTCCTGGGGGTGCACATCATAGACACCCTCACCTGGACTGGAAACACCACCTCACTGGTAAAAAGGGCACAAAAGCGCATGGACTTCCTGCGGAGGATGAGGAGAGCCCTCCAGCCCCCACCCATCCTCCCCACCTTCTCCAGAAGCACCATAGAGAGCGTTCTGAGCAGCTGTCTCACTGTGTGATGTGGAGGCTGCAGCGCCTCAGACTGGAAGAAGGTGAGAACAGCAGAGAGGATCATGGGGGCTCCTCTTCCCTCCATTAAAGAAATTTCATCCCAGCGCTGTGTGTCCTGAGCCCGTGACATCATCAATGACCGCCCACCCCCCCACCATGGACTGTTCTCCCTGCTGCCCTCTGGGAAGAGGCTTCACAGCATTCAATGCAGGACCAGCAGATTCCACAACAGTTTCTTCCCTACTCCCATTAGACTGCTGAATGTTTTGTAAAATGGGTTATTGTATTGTATTTTATTATATTTATTGTATTTTGTCATTATATATCTATAAACTTAGAACTGTAAATTTACAGTCATATGTTTATATTACTGTTTTTATATATGTATATATTTTTTTACTATTTTTCAAGAATGTACTTTTAAAAAGATGAAATTGTCCAGAGAGCTGTTCCAAATGAAATTTATTTTTGTTTTACACTTGTGTAAACAAAATTACAAATAAATCTAAGTCTAAGTCTCCAGAGCAAGTAGTAAGGAAGTAAATCTGTGTGATTTGAATTAAAAATGCCAATGAAATGTAAATGTTGTATGTTTGTTCTTACTGTTTCAGTGTTAAAATATATTCAGAACACATTTTTGACCTAAAAAAAATTAATTGTCATTATTTCTACACAGTTGAAATGTCATTTTTTATTTTCTCTTCAAGCTAAAAATTCACATTACTATTTCAAAGTGATTACATTTTCAATACTTATTTTTCAGTTTAATTTTTCAGTGTTAAAAAAATCTGCATAAAAAAATTTCAAACTTAATATTTTCAGCCTCCTGAGATTCAACTGGCTCTATTTCACCGTCTTAAATTTGGCGTCTAAATTCAGTGTAAAAAGGGAAGGGTTACTTCAGGTCACAGACATTAGCAATGGATTGTGGCGTCCAACACCCAGCCAATCCCGTTATGGTTTCACGTGACGTGACGCTTATGGCGCTCATACTGAAGTAAAACCAGCATCACGGAGCCGGTCATGCAAGCTAACGCTAACTCAACTACAGAATGATGAAAGTAATAAACTCAACGTTGAGTGAGCGTTAGCTAACTCGTGACCGGCTATCACTGTTAAATTCACTAGTTTTCACCGTGTGTTGCAGTGATTCCTCTATTCTCTGACCAAAAGCTTGATTTTTAGTTTCTCCTCTAAGCTCAGAGTTTAGAACCGATCCTCTTTGTCCATCTTTTATCTTCCAGGATCCAGTTAAGGAAAAAAAGAAAAGCAGCCACTTCTCTCTGTTGATCTTTCTTATTCAATCTGGAATCATTTTAAAATATGAATACATAAAAAGTATTTTAATTAGAATTATTAAAAGACTTTTTCTCTTTCTTCTCCATGTTAAACAAAAATCCACCAGAAGCAGAGAAGCTGTGAGTCTGTTCAGCAGGAGGAAGAGGAGCTGAGAGCTTCAGGGAGGAGCTGAGCTGTTACTGAACTATAGAAGAGACACAAACTTCCACATTCAACACAGTTCAAACATTAACTCTGATCATCATGGACTATTATGGACTTTCTCTGCTGGTCGCCTCTCTGCTAACAGGTCAGATTCTACATGTTTCAATGGTGAATATTCTGAAATGTCAGATATATTTTTGAATCAAAAACTAAAACTCCTTTTTCTTCAGGAATCCGCTGTGAAGGACTGACTGCGGTAAAAACAGAGATCTCCAGCTTAGAGGGCAGCTCTGTCACTCTGTCCTATAATTATCCCAACCTGCAAACTGGAGATTATTTCTTCTGGTACCGTCAGTATCCAGGAGAACCTCCAGAGTTTCTGATCTCTCACTCTGCTTCAGGAGTTGAAGGAGTTAAAAATGTTCCTGAACTGAAGATTGAAGTGAACAAACCCCAGATCGACCTGCTGATCTCCTCTGCTGCAGTGACAGACTCTGCTGTGTACTACTGTGCTGTGAAGCCCACAGTGACAGGAAACATCAGAACTCTGTACAAGAACCTGCAATACTCCACAACATCCACTAGAGGGCCTCACACACTATTCCTCCTCTATGGTTTGTTAGGATTCAGTCTGATTGTTTGTGCAGCTGAGAATAAAGCAGACATCAGAGTGTTTGCTGCATCATTGAACTCTATGATGAGAAGGTTTGGATCATAAAGGAGGGATGATGGAGGCTCCAGGATGGAAGTGCAGCCTCTGCAGGACATCAGCACCATGGACAGAGTTCTGTTCCACCATCTAGATGTGTTTCAGTATAGTTCTGCTCTGATTTTCTTCATAGAGTTTTATGTACATCTTGTGGACACATAGCTCTACTTTGAAACTATTTTCTAAAAACTTTATAAAAATAATTTAATCTTTTTAACCCCTTTCCTTAAAACTTATGTTTATTGTTTCTGTTACTGGATCAAATCTTCAGTCTTTTCCAGTGTTGAGAATGTAATTATAATAATAACTACTTTCCTGTTATTTCTAAGTTTATCTTTGAGTCAATTTTCAAATATTAAATGTTTACTAACAGATATATGAAAAGTATTTATTCAGCCACTGATTGTGCCAGCTCTCCTACTTGAAATAATGAGAGACGTCTGTAATTTCCTTCACAGGTACACTTTAACTACGAGAGACGAAATGAAAGAAAAAAAGAAATAACATTGTAGGATTTTTAAATAATTTATTAGTAAATTATGGTGGAAAATAAGTGTTTGATCAATAACTAAAGTTCAACTCAATACTTTGTAACATAACCTTTGTTGGCAATGACAGGTCAAACTTTCCCTGTACGTCTTTACCAGGATTGCGCTCACTGTAACTGGTATTTTGGCCCATTCCTCCATGCACTCCTCTAGTCCAGTGATGTTTTGGGGCTGTTGCTGGGCAACACAGACACTCATTGAGGTCTGGAGACTGGCTAGGCCACTCCAGGACCTGGAAATGGTTTTAAAGGAGCCACCCCTTTGTTGCCACGTTTCCATCTTCAAGGCTGATGGAAGGAGGTTTTGACTTAAAAATCTTACGAAACATGGCCTTGTCCATTCTTCCCTCAAAACGAATTGGTTTTCCTGTCCCCTTTTCAGAAATACAGCCCCAAAGCATGATGTTTCCTCCCCCATGCTTCACAGTAGGTCAAAGCAAAAATCAGCCCCACTGTCAGACGAATTCAAGAAGACAGAACAGACGTTGTAAGGATGATAATGACTATTATCTCTCTGAAATTGAACTTAAAGGTGGAAAAACAGATGCCTTTGAAGAATCAGTTGTGTGACCCATTAACAAGCTGCTGGACGCCTTTTCTTGCACTGCTCAACTCCACCTTCTAGCTCCACCAGAGGGCGCCATCATCCAGTGGGCGGAGCTCTCCTTGTGCTCTGTGTTTCAGCATTGTGTCAATAATAAGTGTTGCTGTGAAGAGAACAATAGTCAGACTGAATGTTGAACATCAGCTAGTTTCTCCTGCTGATTTAAACCTTGTTGGACAGATGGAACATTGGCTGTGGATTATTCTAGCTGCTCTTTTCTTTGGTAAGATAGAAAGCTCAACATGTTTCCTCTTCAAACACTTGAACACATTACTGAGCTCTACATGAAGAGCTTTAATGTTCATTCTACAGAAAATCAGAGCAGATCATTTCTGCTGCCATTTGTTACCTTGTAGAAACACCTGATATGGTTCAAAGTGACAATGATCAGAGAAAATGACATCTATTCTACATGGAATAGAAGTCTTTAAAGCTGCTGATTGTTCTCCTTTAATCAATCATCTTTATTGATTCATCTCTTCCTCTGCATGTTCTGTTCTTCCTCAGAGTGTAAAGGAGACTCAGTGACGCAGACAGAAGGACATGTTGCTGCTGCTGAAGGAGAATCTGTGACTCTGGGATGTTCTTTCAAAGCCAGTGGTTCAGATGATACTGTGTTCTGGTACAAACAAGAACAAAACAGCTTCCCAAAGTACATGCTGAAAGAATACTATCAGAATATTGAAAAAGCTCCAGAGTTCAATAAAGACAGATTTAGAGCAAAGGTGGAGGACTCAACATTCAATCTGACGATCCAGGATCTCCGTCTGTCAGACTCTGCTGTGTACTACTGTGCTCTGAGGCCCACAGTGACAGGAAACACCAGAACTCTGCACAAGAACCTGCAGAGTACATTAAAACATTTTGATGCTGTGTGAAAATTTTATGCTGCTAAATTTAATCATCGTGACACAGGTTTCTTAATCCTGTTTCAATTTAAGATCATTGAATTTCCCTGTATTTGTTTCAGGAAGGGGATTTTTCTTTTTTTTGTATGTAACTCTTAGAAGACCTATGAGGTTAAAGACGCCTCCTAAGATCAATTTTTCTGTCTCCTTCCTCCTCAGAATTTCTTTTAGCAGCATAATTACTTAAAACTCCTAAAAGGCAGCCTTAGGCTAAAGCTTGTTATATACTCCATGAAAAAAAAAAAAAAAAAAAAAAAAAAAAAAAAAACATATATATATATATATATATATATATATATATATATATATATATATATATATATATATATATATTTTTTTTTTTTTGGGCAGCATGTCTGAGAACAGTGGTCCGATTGATCCGTATTTTAGCAGACGGGATTTTTTTCCCTATTGGAAATTCCCCTCAATATAAAATAGAAACCTGTGCAACATGTAAAAACATCCCACAGTCACGGTTAGAACCAAGCAAAAAACAGTTTATCCAGACCAGAGGCCTGTACAATGATGCAGGATTACTGGGTTAGCGAGGCAACTTCAGGTGTAACCCTGACTTTCCTGGTAGCAGGAAGCTGGATCCATACTTAGCGAGGCTAGTCACCATGGTAGTGTCCTCTGACAGGTTAACCTGCTCTGGGTCAGGCTAGCTTTCTGGATTCATCTGAATCCTTTAAAAAATGTCCACCCATCATCCACTAAGCTGCTGAAGAAACAATGACTTGACTTTTATTGAAGACCTGATTTAATTCAGAGGAAAAAAATACCTTTAAACTAAAATGGATCAAGAACTCTTTTAAAAACCCCAAACTCAATCAGGACCTTTAATTTACATGGTTTGTCTCACCTTGGCAGCCTAGAGTTTCTTCTTCTCTGTAACTATAGTAATCCAAATATACCCACTAAACTCTCCAACTTCCACCAACAGCTACTTTTATCATGGTCCCTTTTTTAAAAACAGAACTTTTCTCTGCAAAGGGAATTTGGAACAATTCCAAAACATATTGTTCAACAACAGGTCAATATTCTTTCACAAATGGTTTGACTATGGTACTGTCCAGTTAATTAACTATTTATTTAAAAATGCCTTGAGATGACATATGTTGTGAATTGGTGCTATATAAATAAAGTGAATTGAATTATTAAATAACAGATGTCATCCTTGTAGTTGTAATAACTGAAGATGTCCCGTGCTACTGTGAGTTATAAAATTAACCCCCTTCCAAATCGCCTCTTAATATTGCATCGGATTGATCCTCTCTTTGAGTTGCTGTTAGACCAATTGACTGGACTGAAGACGGGTCTGTAGAAACCAGACCGAGCTGAAGGCCTCCACTCCACTGAACCAAAACAGTAACCTCCTCTTCACCCCTCCTTTCCATCTGATGCTTAATAAGTGCTCTGCTTGGGAAAACTAGGTAGAATAGATAGTCGTTTGGTTGGTTCAGTTGGACCTGACTGGAACCAGAACCCCTGGGGGTCAGCTAAGCTAACGGGTCTTTCAGTCTCATCATAGTTTAATGCATTCCTGAGTCATTATTAATTTTTCACCATAAACTGAATAAAACTTTACTGTTTTGACCGCAGTTAACATTTCTAGGTTGGGTTTTTCCACATTTATCTGCTGCTATTATAATGGACACTTTTAAAAGCATTAAGCCTTAAACTTCCAACATCCCTCAGACTTTGAACAGACGTTTAAACCCCTCTTCTCCTTTTATTTCTTTAATTTTGCTTATTTTCAGTAGTGTTCATTGTTTTGCTTGGTTATTAGATATAATACGGTGTGATTATTTGTTAATAAAGGTACTGTGGTCTTTTGTGTTTGTTTTACACAGTGAACGATTTATCTCTCAGGCTGGATTCTGTCATGATGGGTACTCTGAAAGTGACCCAATTATGCAGAACACCACTGATGGACACAGGAATAAAAGTTCAACAAGTTTATTTTGACATAAGCACACAGAATGTACTGGTTCTGGCTCGGGCCTGGACACTGGTTCACCGGAGTCTGCGTGAGAGACAGTTCAGTTAGCGTTGCACGTTGGAGCTTGATTTCCAGATTAGAACAGATTGTACCTTGAGGGTTCTTGAGGTTAGCTTTGGGAGAGTCACTGTTGGATCTGGAGAGGAGTTGATCAGCAGAGTCCGCTTGCTGCTTTAGCGTCTCACGTCTACTAAAGAACAGACCTTGGCTTTGGTTTTCCCAGCTCTTAGTCCTGAGCTGCATGGAGGTTCTCTATGGTTCTTCGGGTTTGGCTCTGAGGGTCGGCTCGGCAGGTTAGCTCTTCCAGAGCTTCACAGAGGAGACACTGGTTTCCTGGAAGATAGAGACAACGGTTAGAATCCTGGCTGGATTCAAAGTCACAAAGATACACTGAGAGTCTAGGCTTAGGCGCTGACCAACTGGATCAACACTGCAGCGTTGAGGCAAGGTCTGAAGACAGCTTATATAGTGGATCCTCTGATGATCTTGATGGGCTGCAGCTGTGCAGGAGGCTCACTCAGAAGGATCCACGGCGGACTCTGCTGGAGAAAGGTGGAACTTCTCCAGCTCCCAACAGTACCCCCCCCTCAACGACCGCCCCTTGGCGGTCCGGAAGAGGTCGAAGGGAAGGAACGCTCGTACTCCTCGATTAGGGCAGGGTCGAGGATGTACGAGCCCGGAACCCACTGGCGATCCTCCGGTCCGTAGCCCTCCCAGTCGACGAGGAACTGCCAGCCGCGACCTCGTCGACGGGAGTCCACGATGCGTCGAACGGTGAAGGCAGGATGACCATCGACCTCCAGGGCGGGTGGTGGGGAGTCGGAAGGCGGGCACAGAGAACTCGAGACGTCAGGTTTGACTTGGGACACGTGGAAGGTTGGGTGAATCCGGAGAGACTGAGGCAGTTGGAGACGGACCACCGATGGACTGATGACTCGGGAGATCTTGTAGGGACCTATGAATCTGGGCGAGAGTTTTCGAGACATCCCCTTGAGGGGAATGTCTCGAGTGGACAGCCATACCTCTTGGCCTTCAGTGTACTCGGGGGCGGGACGTCTCCTGGAGTCAGCGAAGCGTTTGTTGGATTCTGAAGATCGGTTGAGGGTGGTGATGGTTTCTCTCC